ATCATGAAGACTTACTTACTGGAGCATAGCTGGAAACATCCGTTATCATGGATTCTTGACGAAAGAAAATTTACCTGATATATGACCACCAAGAAACGGTCATGTTGTTAAATTCATTGTACGTTTGGTATTCCTGTTATTTATTGTGTATTAAATTAATTATAATGTAGAATAAATCAATATTTCAAGGTAACTGAAGTAAAACATTTTCTGGCAGCGTATAACTTATCACCCCGAACCCATTAATTTTAAAATTACAAACCTTGCACCTACTTCTTAATGCCCTTCTTTTCTGTTACGAATCTGAGCAGGCTAGATCAGTGTTGCGCAACCTTTCTACAATCGCGGTACACTAAATATTGTCGAAGAGTCATGGCGGCACACCAACCCCATTTTGTATATATTGTGTGTGTGTGTGTATGGGGGGTGAGATAGATGGTTTGTGGCATTGACTGGCCGCGACAACTTCTTACAAATCGAGCCCAACCGAAAAATGTTCTATTTCATGTTATTAATTATCCATCTTTATTATTGCCATTTACTTTAAATATATTCATAATTTGAAATAAATTAAAGTATATTTATACATATCGCTTAATAATTAAAATTTAAAGATACTTATTTATATTTTTGTTGTAGATTATTTGTAATTATTTCACAGTATCCAAATCAGTTTCCCGCGACCCAAAGATCCTACTGCATACGAAATATTTTTATGAAATATGAGACCGTCATTTACAAACAGTAGATGTGAGCAGAGGAAATATTAGACTTAAAATAAAGCTGAACATCAATAATTATCTAATTTTGAAAATCTATAATATATTTAACAGCTATGTGGTTCCCATTTACTGTCGCCTATCTTTGCACAAAAATACATAGAGTAGCAGTAGTTGCAAATATCAACTGGTTAATGTTGTTTAAGAAAATAATAGTTTTTTGCACTGAGAATAATACGAAATCTATTAATACAAAAGGCAGAGGGTGTTGATTGATAAAGCAGGAGGTACGCATAGTACCACTGGGCTTTAAAGTGATAAAAAACACCCATTGCCAACCCTACAACACTACTTAAAAGCTAAAATACCAAATTGATTTACAAAATCTGTTGTTATTTTAGGCACACATTTGGTATAGATATACCATAAAACTTAATATTAAATTCTTCACAGCGTATTTTATGCACTACTGCATTACACACATTTATAAGTGGGGAGTTCTCGTGTAAATTTATAAAATACAGCAATAAAAATGTAGCAGTTCTTAGTTGTTCTTAGATTCTGTGCTATGAACAGAGAAAGGATAAATGTTATGGGAACAGGTAATACAACATAACGGATAGTGAACCCTCGCAGTGTTGCGGGTTTCGATCACTCCAACACCAACGGTGAGCTAAATGTACCTTTCTGGGATTTCATATTTTAATGGTTTTTCCTCTCTCCCTCTGCGTGTGGGATTGTCGCCTATTTTTGGTGTATAGTATATTAATGTGGGCGGCTAATGTGTCGCATATCCAGTTACACAAATCTTTCAAGAGATCGTAATTTAATAAACTGGGTCACTCAATGTGCCATTTTAAGTAACATAGCGAAATTGAAACTGATTTTATACTCTCTCGGATTCCGAATAAAATATAATGTGGTATAGAGCAATCCGACTCAAAATTACAGGCTGCACTTTTTCAGATGGACTGATAAATTAATTTTGAATTTTGTTTGTCTCGTCTGGGATATCGCCATTAGCCTGGCAACTAAAATATTTTGCGCTCAAAAGTGAATTATGTGTCGGAATAGGGTAAAGGTATTGTTGTTGCAGTCACTATAAAGTGTAGTGAGAGGATGAAATTAGGTGAATTTCAGGTTCTTAAGGCGGAAAGTATTAAGACAACTGTCTTCTAGGATTTGTCTCGGGTAGTCTGGTAGAAATTGATCGACGTTTCAGAAGTGATTACTGCTCCATCATCAGGATAAATTACCTCGATGATGAAAGCAACAACGATCTCTGAATCGTTAGTCAGTTTCTACCACAATACACCGCAACACCCCAGAAGAAAGTATTTTTCAGAATGGAATTAGTTTGAATATAAAATTGTTATTTTTAAGAAATAGAAATTCCTTCTGAAATATTTCCCAGGACACGTGGCTATATGATATCAGCAACCAACGTTAGGTTAAAATATTATATACCAGTCCTACTTGTACTTTTAAACAATGTTTTGTCATATAAGGCTGTGACATTAATTCTGAGAGACGTGCCAATAGACTATTGTTATCACACAAGAATTAAAAAACTTTTCTATATTACGTAAATGTATTTATAAAAAAAATTGCATTTTTATTGCTACTACTGTTGCTACATGAAATTCTCTGTACATGCGTCTTGAAATGAACTTCAAGGTGTGATTTTTGGCTCTCTAGCTTAGGAATTTGGAGAATCGAGCTTCGATTCACGATCTGGCCTCGCCTGTTCTGCTTGAAGTTCTTTCCATTAAAATTAAGATTTTAGCTGGGTTTTTAGCAACATGAGATAATACAGTATATATAAATAGTCTAGTAATAAAATAACGTAAGTTGTAGAACACAACATTTATTTTTATTTCAAACTATACGAACTAATTAGGGTATTTTGAGATAAATCTTGCAGAAATTACAAATTCTCTGATACAACTGTTCTACGCAACTAACAGGGAAAAGGTCAAAGGCTAACTGGTCACTTGAGGATGGGAAGGATTATAGGTAGATATACTAAAACACATACGGCTGTTTGTGTTCCAGTTGTATCGAAAATTTATTGCACATGGAAACGAATATTAATATTTCAAACTCTCGCAGTCTCGTTAAATTAACGTTCATTGTCGCACTTCTTCACATTCTATAATAGTATAATTTACTTAATTGATATAAATTATTTTAACAAATATGCTAATATATTTAGTTGCAATTTTCTTGTGTATTAACGTCCTCCGTATTAATGCATTTTATATTCTGCTTGTGTTACCTTTTATGTTTTTATTGTGTTCGTGTGTTCATCTCTGTACTGTATCTGTAATTGGCCTTCTGGCTGTTGATGCAACACACTAATAATAAAGAATTGAATAAACGGGGAAAAAAATACACGTTGAAAATGTTATAACTGTGTAAGTCCCTAAGAATGATTGTTACATTTGTCTAATTTTTAAACAAATTTACCGGAAGATCTGTATAATGACAGATAAATGCGTCGTAGAATGTTTCACTGGGCGACATTGCGTCTCCACGCTGAGCTTCGCCGACTTGTTGCTTCTTGTAGCGTGTTGCTTTTAGTTGTAGAAGCTGACAAGAGATGGCACTAGCCTCCCAGAACTATTGAAATGAAATAGGCATGGAAAAAACAATTTTACCCCCAAGCGTTAAGGACGTATGTAGGCGTACAGGAAATAATAATTGGTTTAATGCTAAATAAATGTTAGAATGAAGAAGCTAGGCGAAGATCGCTGACACCAGATTCGAGTACAGCCAGAGAAGGAAGTACTGCGGGGGGGGGTTATGAAGTTTGTGACGCTAAGCGTCTAGTGGTTACAGAGCCTCCACCTCAGACATGCTAATGGGCTGTTAAATGGTTCCTTCTCCTCGCCATATTTCTGGGAAAGCTCAATTGTTTCTCTGACATATTGGCGCATGTGAACTTCGCAGTTTATTATTTAATTAGTAGGGTAATATTCTTCTATCTGCACCCTGTTACACCTGCTTTTACCTTGCCTGATGATTGCATAATACAAGGTTAAATCACAGACTAGACTTTCTGCGCTGTCAGATTTCAATCATATTTTATATAATCTGAGGTGTCAAATAGATCGATCTGCCATGCCTGTCTGTTTCCACGAGCCACAGGATGGAGTTGTATCCGAATTTAGTAGAATTCCTCTTAATAAATTCGAACCCGAATTAATTATTTCAACTACATCGGCCAATCAGAGGAATCTTAACACTATTTTTCCGGGTATTTCTTAAAAACTGTACAGTTGGTATGTATTTCTGTTTTATGCAACTCGAAGTGACATTGAAGTATCGATGTTGTTCTTTTGGTTTTTATGAGCATAGCCTGTTTATAATACTGAAATAAAATACGTCTTTGTATAATTCCTGTTCGCTACTGAACATCTTCACTCATTAAATCACCTTCACCTTCGAATTTAATTATCTGCGTTATCTCTGCTCTCGATTGCATATTTACTTGTTAGAAAGCAAAGAGTCTGTCTTCAGCTCAGGTTGAACCACTTCGAACAGGCGGCATGTAAATAATATCAGTTGAATGAATCGATGCATGGAAAACAATTAACGTGTTTGTGGATCATGTAGCTCCTACGATTATCTAGTATTAAAATAATTATCATGTTTTAGGTCCAGTGGTTAAGACTTCATAATCATATACAGAGTTTTTATAGAATTATTGATCACATATACAAATGATTTGGTTTCTTTCCGATACAGTGGAATAAAATTTCTGTGGACTTGAGTCAAAATATTTTATAATCGTCTATATGGTCTAACCATGTTTTGAGTGTTTCTGTACCCATGCAGTGTCTAATCCTGTTCTAACTGTGATGCGTCTCCTACCGCGAACGTTTGAATGATTTAGTTATGTGTCTGTTTGACACTTAGAAATGGGTAAGTCTTCCTTCCCAAGATGTATTGTTCCTTTCCAGTTGCTTAATTAAGTCTGATTTAGTTAGGTATGGGTTTCCTCCCTCCCTCCCTCCAACTCTCCCACTCCGACGCTCATTCTCCCAGAGTCCTTCAAGGTACAGACAGTAACGCTCCTGAATTAGCTTCAAACTACCGTAACAGTAACAGAGAAAGTGCAGATGGGGCCTGCAGTAGAGTCGCCATTTGTTGTAGGATTTGAAGTCTTCACGGCGATGAGTCTGAAGATGGTTGTTGCGCCGTGTAGTCTGGTAGAAGTTTACCGACGTTTCAGAGGTTCTTGTTTCTGTCACCCTGATGATTGAGGCCGCAAGGACCTCTGAAACGTCGGTAAACTTCTATCAGACTACACGGCGCAAGAACCCAGAAGACAGTCATCTTCGCCATTTGTTGTTACCTCGAACCAGCGCTGAGGGCTTCCAGCCACCAGAGTTTGGGAGAGTGTCACGTGTTTTCTAGACGCGTTGTCACGTGCATTTATTCATTTTCGAACGCTCTTCAGTTGCCAATTATTGGTTGTTGGAGCACGCTGAATACAAAGATGGCAAGTACAGTGTTTGCTGAAACGTTGCAAAACCTTCAGAATTCATTGTTGGCTGATCCAAAAAGGCTGACGTTATACAGTGAAACGGGCATCTAGTTCTTCTTCTTTTTTTTCTTCCTTCGTTTTGCTGGGATTGGATGGGCTGGCTGTACTGTATCAGCAAATTTTGTCTTTTTCTGTCGGTTTAATATCTTCTTTTAAGTTGTCTTCGGTTAGGAAGCTCTTTCTATGTTTTCTTTGTCACTGTCATGTGCTGTGCAGAACAACGCCTTTTAAGAGGCCTTACATATTTCTCTGGCTCATTTTACCGTCTTTTCTTTTGTGACATATTGATAGAAGAATCAGTTTTTCTTCTTCTTTTTCTTAGGTTATATCGGCACACATCATCTGTACCTCCTGCAAATAGAATATTTACATTAAACTGTCCCTTTTCATGTAAAAAACACAGTAATTTTTTTAATATATTAAAATTTGGGAATTGTATTAGTTCTGCATAATTATATTTTGGACTGGCAAAAATTGTTTTAATATTCTTTCAGGATTGTATCTGCGCGATTAAAATTGCTTTTCCCATAATTTTACCCTTTTCAGCCTCATTGTTACTGATATTCAGTATTAGGAAGTAAGGGGAAAGCATGTGAGACAGCAATGAATAGCTGTAGCTCTTATGGTCATGGTGACGAAAGCGAACACCAAATAACTTGTACACAATTTTCTAAGTGACATTGCTGAACATCACATTGAGAAAACACAGTGTGGACAAAATATCTAAGTTTAAGCCTTTATTTTGGTGAGTGATTTTAATTTTTTCATTACTCACGTGTGTATAAATTGTATTTATATCAAATCGTACCTCAATTCTACAAACCTTGAGCCAAATTACGTAAACCGAAACAAGAACTTCCATGTGCAGATGAAGCAGTTAGGCGAGAAAGGAAAAGAGTGTCATATGCAGAGCAAAGGTTAAGAGATATCACTTGGGCAGATTTTAAATTGTAAATATATGAAAAAACAGGCAGTGTTAAGTACGTTTCATCTTAAATTGAATAAGATATCCTACCTTGTTTAGTAGCGGCAGTTTTACGTTTACGTTGAGGTTCCTCACGCTTCTTCAGGATAGGTTTCAGTTTCTGGATACAACAAAACAGAAATTAGTTCCTTGGCAATAGTTTGTTAAATTCCTTCCTCCTTCTTAAAGCTTATAACAACCAGAAGTGACCTTCGAAGATGGAAAAGAGAGAACAACAGGCAAACATAATATGAAGAGTGAAATAATTGATTTCATCTTTGATATGCAGTAAACTCCCGATTATCCGTGTGCGTATTTTCAATGCACCTGTTTTTCGGTACTCTGTGGTCAGTATCAGTAGTGACCGTGGGGACGGTAATCAAAGTACTGGAAAAAGGCGGTGCTACAAGTGAGCTTCATCTTTTTTAAAAAATTAGTGTCGTGCGTTTCGTTGTATTGTGTGGCATTTAGGTGAGGATGGCAGTTAACATTAAATGTTATGTATAAATTTTGTGGCTTCTAAGTAAGATGGCTGAGAATCGTATGAAAACTGTACTCATAATAAAACAACAGCTCGAGTTACTTGAAAATTTTGAAAACGAAGAATGGGCGACAGAATTAGCCAAAGATTTTGGGCAGGGACTTAGTGATTGCGTCCATAGAACAACTCTACTGGGCTGACCACAGAACTCTTGCCGATAAAGATGACATCATATGGAAAAAGTGACGGTGTTGCATGCTATACACGGCGTATCTCGGGCAAGATCTTCATCAGTCTAGTAATGCTGGTTACATCGTTCAGATCTGGGTAATGATAGCGAAGAATGACTTTTATGTCAGTGGCGCTGATGAAAAATAAATATATACACGCACACAAATGTTAAAAAATTCAGGACGTAACACTAGATGCCTGGAGATTTGAGACTATCAGTGTTGACGTCTATCTTCATATGTGGGGACAGAAATAAATAATAATTGCAGAAGAAGACGTGTTCTCAGTCCGGCCTTCAAAAGTCATACTAAGCTGGTGACTAGGTATATGAATATTTAGTCTTAATTAAGTCTGGTGTGTAGTACATTATAATATATCCTCTTCTTTAGTTAGTTAAAATTTCCTTCCTCATAAACATGCCTGTGCAGATATTTAATTTCATTGCATGCACCACATTAGACTTACAGAGCTCAAATATTATCTGAAGCCCTAGGGACATTCACAGCATTATTATTTACTCTATAGCACCTTCAAGGCAACACAGCCTATGGCTTTGAAGGTAATAGAAGTACGGCAAATAAGCCTTGTTCTAATGCACCACCTACTAAAATGTCGGACATAGTACTTGTTCTGACCTTAGCAGTTTTACTACACTTCTTCGGCTGAGTGGTTGTTGATGACTGAGGATAAAATTTGTTCCTGTAATTTTCGTCAACTAAGCAGACATCTTTCGCATCTGGAGGAGATGGCACAAATGGCATGACAGTGGTTTTTTGTGCGACATCTTCCCAGTTGATGCCCTATTGGATAAAGCACAAATATTAATGCTACATACCAGAAATGTGAACACCTCCAGCAGTGGAGAGAGTATAAGGATTTTGAAATGAAGCCTTGTGTATCTCTATAAATTTTTGCCTGTGTCGTAAGTTATTTAACAATACCGTATTATCTGGGATGGATGTTGGAGGATATCTAATCCTGTCATCAACGTTTCAAGTAAGTTGTTTGCCAATTTAGGGCATGAATTTAGAGGTTCCTTCTGGAAATATCATCTGAGAGAACATTATGTAGTGTCTTTCTTAACCTACTGAATCCTATTGCACGTCTACTGTCGATGTTATATTTATTGCTTATAAGTTTCTTTTGTTGGGGTTGTAAATCGAAAATATACTTATCACTTACCGAAGTTTTAAAAAAGTAATATAGGAACAGTGTCAAAAGTCTCCAACTATGTGGGTTTTCAAAGATGGCTGTCTGCTAGGTTGTAGCGCCGTGTAGTCTGGTAGAAGTTTATCAACGTTTCAGAGGTCATTGATTTCTCCATCACCAGGACAATGAGATGTTGATAAAATTTTACCAGACTACACGGCGTTACAACTCAGACGACAGTAGTCTTAGGACTCACCGTCATCAAAACAAAAAATCCTACTTATTCTGCTTAAACTGCACTTGATTTTCTTAGCATATTACATGGATAAGACACAGCTCAGAACTGAAACTTTTATATACATTACTGTATGATAACAGATATGGGAAGAGAACTCACGTAAAAGAAGGGATGTGCCTTGATCCTCTGAGTACCATATTTCAATGCACCCAAACGTTCCCTTGGATCTTTTGTTAATAATCTGGTGATAAAATCTGTCACTTCTGGGGAGAATTTCATTTGTTTTATCCGTGCATGATTCTGAAACTTCCTGCAAAGGAAAGGCGCATTCTTGTATTTGCCAATAAAACTATACACACAAAAACACGTGTTAGCAATAGTGTTTATAATGCCATTAAAGTTACTACAAAATACCTGTTCAGTGTCTAATTAGCATGATAATATCTAAAGCTGGTAATACAAGAGACATGCAAGTTAGTTGGTCTATGTTAATCATGAAGATTGTTGTCTTCTGGGTTGTTGCGCCGTGTAGTCTGGTAGAGTTTCCACCAACGTTTCAGAGGTCATAGTGCCTCCGTCATCAGGGCGATGAAATTCTCTAATGCTGGAGGCAGTATGACCTCTGAAACGTTGGTGGAAACTCTACCAGACTACACGGCGCAACAACCCAGAAGACAGCAATCTTCAGACTCACCGCTGTGAAAACCTGGCACACTGATTCACTATGAATGTAGGCCGCACCCCCTAGCGGCAGAAGCTCGTACTACATCCTGTTCGCCCTCTATTGACACAGTCTGGAAACTTTCCGATCGCACCTCGTATGTTAATGATGTTTTTTCAGATTTGGGAATATTTCCTTTTTCTGTCACTCAGATTCAATCAGTCTGCTGCATAAACTTGCTTTCTTAACGATTGTGGTCATAATTTTGTTTCCTCCTTAAGGTTAATTCTCCACAGGTTTCAAATATGTGCACCCATTTTACTGGCATCGAAATTGACAGTCGTGTGTTCATCACAGATTAATCTGTGTAGAAAGTTGTTTATAGGAACATGGTGTCCACAGGGAACACGTATATTGTTTGTCCTTCCAGACACTAAGGACTCACTTATAGAGCATCTTCATTTTCCTGCCATCCATAGCTTCAAAGAAAACTTCTCCAGTCAGTAGCTGGTACGTTATTACGCCGACACTCCACCAGTCCACAGCCTGAAACAAATGAAATCAGGAGCAACAGCTGCAGTCAGTCATATTCATTTCTCCGCACTCTCACATTATCACAATGCTATCCAAAAACAGAAAATTTTTACGATGAAAAATACAAGTTCATTTCTTGCCTCCAGGTTTGTACGAAACGTTGCTATGTATGATATGTTCTGTTGCGTTATTTATTAATTTCTCATATTTATAAATTTCGATTCCTAGCCGCACAAAGACCGTATTAACTTTCCTTGCGGTCTTCCTCTTTAAAATTATTTTATTAGCCATCGTTTCCAATTCCTATTATATAGCCTTACTGTCGCTACATTTTATGCTAAATTTCCATGAGCAGTTGAGTCAGGATAATTACGAGATGCCATTAGAATCTGTTCAGTGATATTTCAAAATGTCGCATGTGGAGAGACGAGTATGGTGAAGGTAACAGAAGCAATTTTGTGACATTTTCTCTATCAGTAATCGTACCAGATGGCAGGTGATTGTACTAAAATCAGTTGAAATATTCTGCCTCCTGCAGTGTATACTGACTAATTTATGTATTTGTCATGGCCACCACACTGTTTCTATTTGTGGCTCCAAACAGTACAATTATTGTACCGTAATGCCTTACTTATTCACATTAATAATACTTCCGGTCCACTTACATAAAACAATGACATCATTATTTACCTTGTTATAACTCTGGAATTCGACAATTTCAGGAGCCACATATGGTTCGGTCCCACGGAATGTTTTTGAAGGTTTGACCTGCAGACAGAAACAATCTTTTAAATACTTTGACAGGAATCTGAGGCACAGATCAATTGCTAACTTTTTACTAATAGAGATAAAAATTGTCAGCATGGCTAATACCAAGGACACTGTACAATCCTGAGACAGTTCCATTAACCTCCCGCCTTAACAACCTATTCTTCTACGATTCCTCTTAACTTTGTATTTCTGTTCCCTTGATTTTAAAAGTTGACATTTTCCAAGACATCCCCCGCCAAAATTCTGTAGCATTTCTTGTTTTTCCACAAGAATAGCCCATTGTTTGTAATCTCCTTAATTTCACTAACCTAGCAATTCTGAGTTAGCTGCATGAACCTGAGGTGTTGTCATTGTATAGCTTCTAAATTGGCCCCTCACTTTGTCAGTTTTCGTTGTCAGTGTTAACCCTCTTTCAAACGCTTGTAACTGATGTTGCTTCCTCAAAGTAAGACACAGGTTTATGTACGTTACATATTTAATGTTTCGTATATTACAGTATAGTGACTAGCTACGAGCTGGACGACCGGGGTTCGATCCTCGACGGGGGCAGAGGATTTTTCCTCTAGCCTCTGCGTCCAGACCGGCTTTGGGGCCCACCCAGCCTCCTCTACAATAGGTATCGGGGTCCTTTCCCGGGGGTAAAGCCGGCCGGGGTCAAGGAAGAGAGGAGCTATACCTCCTCTCACCCCAAACGCCTACATGGCGTATAGTGGGACAAACTTTACTTTACTTATACTAGGTAGGATGTTAATGGTTTTTGAACTGAAGAGTGGTAACTCTTTAAGAAACTCCGAAAGATAAAATTAGATACGACAATTCAGCACTTCTATATCCACCCCTAACATTAAAAGAATGCCTATTAGTTAAACTTTCCATTAAATATTGGTGCAAAATTGTCTGAATTTGTCAGCTCCAATTTGAGGCACTTGGAAAATCTCCACTGTTTATGGTTTTTGTACTTTGTTATATCTGTCAGGACCCTATATAGCTTCTACGTTTCCAGCCTATTTTTTTCCAGTACGTAAAACACTCACGAGCAGATGAGGATAATATTAAATTTACCTTATTCCTTGGGCGGAATCTTACACTTGATCCAAAGTTTGCGACCGCAATGTGACCATTAGCATCCAATAGAATGTTGTCCGGTTTTAAATCTCGATGAATTATTTGTATCTGAAAAAAATAATTTAAATTCCTTACACAGTACTGTTGAAAGCTGAAACATTTTACATGCTTCCATTCTTATTGTAGTGGTGAGATACATATTCAGTATTTTGTATTTCTGCTACATATCATTCTGACTAGGGTGTCATATGTATTGTTATTGATTAAAGTAATTAAATACCACTAGGCCTGATTAATTTTAGCTTTTGAACAGGTGACTGTGAGTGGGGATATGAAATATCTTATAAATAAATATTGAAATAAAATATTGAATGAAACAAAAATTAATTCTGTAATCATAAAATTAATCAATTAAGTACTTTTATGAAGATTTCTGTCTTCTGGGTTGTTGCGCTGTGTAGTGTGGTCGATGTTAACCAACGTTTCAGAGGTCATACTGCCTCCGTCATCAGGGCGATATCGCAACAACCCAAAGACAGAAATCTTCATATTCACAGCTGTGAAAACCTCAAATCATACAAAGTACTTTTATATTTTATACCTTGTGGAGATGCTCTACCGCCAGGACGATTTCTGCTATATAATATCTAACCTCATCCTCTGTAAGCAACACAATATTCCGCAAGATGCTGGACAAAGTGTCGCCAGGAAGGTAGTCTGAAACAATAATGACGCGACTTTTCAAGTGAAAAGACTCCTCTTACATTTAGAGATCAGTGAATCTAGTAGTGTCACTGCAAATTGACGCTCTGCATAAGGCTGGAAACTCGCAGATGGCTTAGCAAGACGCAACGGTTACTTCCCCCAATCGGGGATAAATATGGAATATTTACACAATATTTGCGAGACAATACCTGCAGCTTAAGCAAGTTCGCATGCCCTTGCAGTTCTATTCAACTATACATACAGTTTTTAATGTACTTACCTAGTAAAAGAAAATTTTTCGATTCAGTCTCGAAGGCGTAATGCAGCTTGGCTATGAATGGAGCATCGCCTATTGTTTCGTACATGAGACGCTCTGTAAGCCTGTTTCTGACGGACGTCGGTGTGATTTTCAGAGTATAAATTGCGTCATCATGAAGATCATGGACGAAGTAAAACTTTTTATATTCTGTAACAGCACCGAATTAGGTTTTATCTTTATATCTGATCAGCAAAGTGCTCTCAGATCTTTATAAAGTTTAGAACGTTTTATAAACGATCTGTACATCATCATATTTCTAAGATTACTGACTAAAATACATTTAATTAATATACGTGGTATATATTGTTCACCATAAGCACCCGCTGTCAGTGCGATAGATGTTGTGGTTTCCACTAGTTACAGCACGTAACTTCAAGTGTTATAAGCATGCCTGCAGAGTGACGGAAATATGATGAAATCCCAACTAGTTTCGTGATATTTTCATAATTATAACTTTTATTGTTATAATACTTACGTGTTGAATCTTCTTTAAAGGGGCCTTCGACAGTCACACGAAATTTATGCACGATTTCGTTAATTAGCACCTTAGTTTATATCCTGTCGTTTTGAAATTTTTTACAAGTCAAATTTTGTAGGCCTTCAGTGATCACTGTTTAAATAATGTTCAACAATAAAATATTCATTACCATGTTTCTCGCACTGCACGGTGATGATAACACTTAACATTTAAAATTATTCGTTGTCAGGACTTTTTCCTTCGTCTGTTCTTTAAAACCACGGCGTTTCGGAGGCTGGTTCTGTCTCCGTCTTCAGGTGAGAGGTACCTACTCTGTTGGGTCCCTTAGATAGAACTAGTCTCTGTCACTGGACAATATCGTGGTTTTAAAGAACAGGCGATGGAAAAAGTCCTGACAATGAATAATTTTATGAATAAAATATTTTGTTCAGGAAATTACGGTTTACGCCATTTTGTTAACTCCTAATTTGAAACATGTTAAAACAATACTCTGTACTTACGACACGTCACACATAGTTGTCAATCACAATGATAGGGTACTTTGGTATAGTATTATCACAACGCAAAATTAAAATATTTTTAACACCAAAACAAGAAACAGACCGCAGAATGTTTGCTGTGTATATGAGTTTTGTTTTATTTTTGTCACTCTGCACTAATATGTGTATAAGATAACCTGTTTTGGGCAGAGATGTAAAACCCGGGACCTTCCGAACACGAAACAGGAGGCTACGATATTCGTATGAGAAGTGCAGGGCATTCCAAGTCGATCACCCAGTAAGAGCCCAGAGGCTCTCAGTCAGATTCACTGTTTATGCTCGTATCGTCTGTACAGTATCACAGTCCTCTTCCGGAAATGCGAAGCTTTCAGTGGGGTAAAATAGAACTGACCGCGATACAAAGCTTCTAGGAATAACTAGGAAGGAAACCTGCCCCAGTTATATTTCGTGCACAAGTCATCCAAAAACTGATTTCGGATTTCCTCGGCGAGAAGCAAGTGTACTGTGTAATCGCCGATTTAAACCTCAAATCATACACATAATATTCTTATCCACTTCATTATTTTATGGGTTAGAATTCACTGTTTCTACGGGTATAAACAATTCTTTGTAACTGTCCAAACCTGCTCACAGATGATTTTATTATCTTACTATCTGTTCATCGATTTTCACTTTGTGGCCTATTCCGTAATATTTTTGATGTATGTTTTCTCCTCCTATGACTTAAAGTTTACCAGAGTCAAGGTAATCGGTGTGGTATAATTGATATAAATTTATTCTTTATGATAAATGTTTAATTTAATTCCGCCACATTACACACTATTAGACCCGGATATCTGTTATATCACAATATAAGAAGAGCAGAATGACCTATAGTCCATGTCTTCTGAAGCGCGATTAGTAATAACTGAAACACTGAACCGAAATTATAATCGTTCTTAAATTAGAAGCTAAGAAGAAATTTGGAAAGAAAATAGTTACATTACCGACATTGCTGTCGTCGTCACCGTTGTTTATCGAAGTAATTATGGATCCCATCTTATCAATCTGATGTCGAATTATCCTACAACAGTCTCTCCTACTTCGGTTATGAGTTGCCTCACGTCAAATAACATCGACGTTTCCATGAAAACGGAAGGTATTTGTTGCTTCAGCAAAACAGAATCTGATTACAACAATGAACAATGTTGGTTCATAGCTTCGTTAGGGATTGTTTACTGTCAAGGAATTCTGAGTCTTGTGGGATAATATTTATTATAATGTTGTTATAACCTTTATGAATGAGATTGTATTTCAGATTGTAGGACATTAAACCATATTATATTCATTAAGCAAAGAAAATGACTATAATAATTTTAAATTTTATATGTTGCTTTGTTGATTTTTTCAATAATAATGTGTAATAATTTTAATGTTTGGGTGCTCCTTTGTGGAAACAACAATGCACTGAAACAAAAGACTGTCACTCATCCATGGCCTTCTATGTTCATGTACTTCTAAGCAACGCAGCAAAACCGATGTTTACGTGTTAACGCTTCAGAGCTATAGTATTTAAGGAAAGAAAAGTGTACATTTTCATTTTGATATGCTGCTTTGTTAAATTTTTTCAACATAAATGTATTTTAAGCGCTACGTTACATTTTACTATCATTATTAACGGGCAATTTTTTGGTCGGATTCTAATTGTAAAATATGAAGTAATGAATGACACAATGACCTGTTAAGTATCATCATCAATACACTACTTTCATATTGCAGAATCATTCTTGAATAACTGATAGTGGTTTATCTGATAAAAATATATATAGTCCTTTATGGACATGGCATTAGATGTTACCTTGAGCCAATTTAACCTAGTACACATCCTCTCAGCCTGCTTCTTAAAGACTCGTCTTAATATTATCCTTTATTTAATATTAATGTTTTCAACTGGTTTGTTTCCTTCAGGTTTTTAGACTTAATTATATATGCATTCCTCACCTCCCCTATATGCTCAGTATGCCGTAGGCATCTGTCTCATCCTCTTTCAATTGTTCACGTTCCAATCCAAGTTAGAGAATATTCCTAGCGTTTGATATTAATTTACCTGACAAGTCCCCTGTCTTGCCGTCATGGAGCCTCCATCGTTTGCTATCCTCTTCATAGAAGGCTTTCACAGTAATCGCACCAGCGCTAGTTGAGTCCAGTTCTCAAATGTTCGCTTTTATTTTCCTTCTCCAGTGAAGTTTCAGAAATTATATCTTCTAAATTACTTAATGTAGTTCTAATCTTCTTAGAAGTGTACTATATGTTTCTTAAGATACTGATAGTCGCATGTCTGGTCAATAAACTTCTTGTTATGAACCTTGAATTAGAGATACTGTTATTACATTACCACACATTTACAATTTATTCTGATATATGTTAATAAAGTTATGCCGGTTTAGCTCAGACAGTATAATGACTAACCACGGACTGGACGACCGGGGTTTGATCCCCGTCGGAGGCAGAGGATTTTTTTTCCTTTAGCCTCTGCGTCTAGACCGGCTCTGGGGCCCACGCAGCCTCCTATCCAATGGGTACCCGGGTCCTTTCCCGTGGGTTAAGCGCGGCCGGAGCGTGATACTGAGGTCACGAATAAGTAGGAGTTATACCTCCACTACCCCCAAGCGCTTATATGGCGTATAGTGGGACAGCTTTTACTTTACATGTTAATAAAGTTTATTTCTTCGCAACTGAGAGACGAATTTTAGAATGAAAAATTTGTTTCGGTAATGCACTGGTCATCCCGTAGCTCTGAATTTAAGAATTGTCAGTTTTAATTTCACAGAGCTGGATAGTTAGAATAGCACCGCTGACATATTAGCATAAATTTAAACTACGGAAGAGAAACTAAAATATAATTCGTTCTAATAAATATTATCTTACGATTTTCTGCTCATAATTACCTCATCTCAGACAGTAGCTGACTGTATTTTTGAAGCTCTGTTTGTATTCGTACATGTCAACATAACATCTTCCTTATCTTTCTTCAAAAGTTGATTGTTAAGAGATAGGCCAAATAATTAATTTTTAAAAACTAAATTTTCATCCACAAAATCTCGCCTTCAGCTCACTTCTTGTAACATCTTTATAATTTATTTGCTTGAGACAAATGTGAACTTAATCCTCATATTAACTACACCTCCTAATTAATATTTCCTTGAGATTTTCCAACCAGAATATTGCGATAATTTGTTGTTTTATACATTTATGCTACATTTCTCACCAGCCTCATCCTAAATTTTATGTCTACAACGTAAAGCGTCAAAGGATAAAACTTGTGAAACCGCCTATGAAATTAGCTCCGTATTGCTGCTGATTATCACAAAGTCAGTCCACGATGCAGGTTAGTAGTTTGTCTTCCCGATGGTACCAGCTATTCTGACTGAGAATTCATTTGGTTTTTCAGCATCTCTTGAGGTAGATATTGGGAGAATTATATTCAAAAAGGTTACACATAACCCTCTCCTTTCAAGTACTTAACAAATCACCATTTTGCCTTCACTTCTGTTGTCACGCTGTTTAAACATACGCAGTTGGAAAAACACCGCACTTTTAAGAAATGTGTGAAGTAGCTGAGGGTGGTGATTGAAATTGTTTGCTTGAGGTATTTGATTTGATTTCTTGAGAGTTTTTTGGACTATGGTTCCTAAATTTATTCTCACTACAGAGTGTGTGGGAAGTAAGTAGGCGTTAAATAATTTTTGCATTGGAAATATAGGGGTTATAACCATTTCTCAATGCCTACTTACTTCCCACCCACCTGTATATATACTGGAAGTAATTCTGTTTAAAAAAATAAGGTTGCAGCTACTATAAACGGACAGGTTTACAAGCACTTAATAAAAAAGAGATCAAACCATCACCACAGCCTTGAAACCAACAACAGCAGGCCACTCATTGTAGACTGTAGACTGCAAATGTTACGGGAATGAATGAATTAACATAAATATAATATTCTAAAAAGGAACCAATGAATCAAGATGCTATGGCGGAGGAGTTTTTTGTGAGAAAAGAACAAAAGAAGTGGTAGGTGAAATTCTGGTGTTCCTGACGTCTTTCGTATATGACAGTCATTAACTGATATACTGTGCCATGGCTACTGTTTATGTAAAATCAGTCTTTTGCAGATCTATCGCACTGTAGTATCGTGCTAGTACGAGGCCATAAAGAGGTTTATAATTTGCTGCACGTTCTGTGATCGATCTGTACATCAAATGGCAACAGGAATTAAGGCCTAATTAGCCCTTGGTATTATGTCGAGCGAGTTAAGGCACCTGGTTGCAGAATATGAAGTAATATGGTTTCTCTCTGTTCTGTTTACGGGGCGAGAGTAAATTCGGTCAGTGCTTTCTGAGCGCACATATGAAGTAAGTTAGTTTCTCATGCTTGCTGTGTTTCTCTGTCTGTCTATCTAACCATCCATCCATTCATCCAGACTCTTGTCGACGAACTGTCCTTTTTTTTCCACTACAACATGGTGACACAGCATAACTGTTTCTCTTTCCCGCACCTCCCATTCATTGTCCTGCCACGGCGAGTGAACGTGGATGGAAAAAGGGAACATGTGCACTGAAAGCGGGCGGGGAGACTGCTCGCTTGCATCACCCGATTCAGACATGCTGGCTAGTTCACCACTTGTCTTCGACGATGAGATTTAATATTTGCTTGTGTAATAGAAAAGTCTTCACTTTTTTGTTGTGTTAACATTTTTCGGTGTCTAGCTGTTGATCATAATACGTATTTTTCCGCGGATTTACTCTATAATTTCTTACAATTCAAATTCCACTAACTTTTAAGTTGACGGGAACGACGTTCTTCTCATAAAAAGGCATTTTCATACTTTATATTTCTAACAATTATTCAAATTCATTTATACCAAGAATACATTATCAGTTATTTTAAAGCACAGACCATGGTGTACATTAATAAGATATAAGCACATTCCAAGTCAATTACTTGTAACAGTTTGACACTAAATAAATATTCATTTAAAAGTGGAGAGGCAAGAAACAGTGCAGACTCACAGATGAAATATCTCCATATTTCCCTCACAATATTATTTATACTTGTCCAGTACACCTAAGAATAAATGCTGTTTATAATTTTGACGTGCGCGTTCTTTTTGATACAAGTAATTATTTTTTTTCGCTTTAAATTGATTTCAGAACACAGATTATAAAGGAAATTGAACTCTACAAGTTATAAAGATGCATATAATGAGACAGGCGTCATCAGGACAAGTAATATTACTGGTAGTAGTTCTATACCGGCATTGAAATTTGAACTTTAGTCTAATAATTGACGAACGAAAGTTAAATGTATAAATTTATAGTTGCTGTAAGTTATTTTGAACCCACAGTAAAAAAAGAAACGGGATGCTGTACGAACTGCGTATTTTATTTTAATTGGGGACTTGCCTGTTGCCTGTAAGTCCTTCATCCCTGCAAGAGCATTGTTCCTTGTCGCTCAGAGGGCAACTACCCATACATGCTGCGGCAGAAGACAAACCAGGGAGAACGTTGATGCGCGATTGTATGCATTGTTCTTCGGAATGACTCCTGTCACAAATAATTGTTTTACGAGTAAACACCTTCTCTAGACGTTTGACTGTCTCTGTACAGACGAAAAGGCTTCACTGCATGGTAGCACTGTGATGCCATTGTTCGATCTGTTTGTTATGTTTCGTTACATTTTAATCAACGGTGCGCCGTTCAGTGACGAAATAGTTAATGGCGTTGAGTCTAAATAAAATTACCCAGGATTTGAGACTTTCGCGGCGAGTACAATCAATAAAATCTTCTCGGGCAATCAGCCCCGTCAACTGGTTGCTGTAGTACTACGGTAACCAGTTGACGCGGCTGATTGCCCGAGGAGATTTTATTAAAATTACCCAGTTTAAAATTATATTTCTCTCTGGGAGGTAAAGCTGTTTTTATATACGCAGGGAGAAATTTATGTTAGAAATACAGTTTAAAATTATGTGATTTATCAGTTAAAACTTTTCATGAATTACCGGGTACGAAGACTAATCCAAAGAATGAAAAAAAATTTAATAACTGCATCTTCCCTCAGCTGTATTATTTGGTATACAATAA